ACACACACACACACACATGATGGACTCTGACACACACACGATGGACTCTGACACACAAAGACACACACTATGGACTCAGACACACACACACACTCATGACACATTCATGATGATGGACTTTGACACACACACAATCTAAATGTGTTGTACTGTTTGTGACTTCTGTACTTGCAAGTTTTTCGCAGTCTGCTCAAGTTTTTGCATTTTTGCACCTTTCTATGTCTGCAACGATGAAAACAGAAAAACTGTGTGCTGCTAATCACATATCAGAACATGTTTCTACCTCATGTACTACACATGTACTAATCAACATGCGTCTCTAGTCTTGTCTCAATTTCTTGTTTAGATTAGGTTAATGTCTTTTTGCATTTATTATAGGTCTGTTTGCATATAGTTTTCTGTTGCGTATCTGCACTGTGTGTTGTTTTGTTTTGCATGTTATGTTCTATGTTGCACCGTGATCCTGGGGAACACATGTTCATGTCAATATGTACTTGTACGTAGCTGAAACGACAATATAACCTCTCTCACTCTGACTCTGAAAATAACAGATTAAAAACTTGAGTTTTCTAAAACAATTGCTAAACTAAACAAGATACGTTATATATTTTTTAGTTTTGAAGAGATCAAGAAAAGCCTAAAATAGAACACATAATAGCAGAAATCTATTCTAGGTTCACATCAATCCTGTATTTACCTATTGTGCTAACGCAAATCACTGGATATCAACATAAAAAGATAAGTTAGTCAGCTGAAGCATTATCTGCACACAATTTAAAGTAAGTATTGAATTAAGCAGGCAGTGTTGGGAGTTTAGGAGCTCTAATTTTAACAAGTCAGCTCTTTATGGCGAGTCATGTGGGATGAAACTGCTGAGGATTTACTTCCTTGGTACAAACCAGGGCAGCGTGAACTCCAAGAGACAGGTTAACTGGACTCTCTGGGGAACTTTAAAAACTTTAAAGTAAAGTGGCATTTGTCAGTCTGTGTTCAGATCAGATGGGCTTTGAGAGGCTTTTTCAATGTCATGTCAACATTACAAAATTAAACTGCAAATGAGCTTTAGATGTAAATAAATACAAGTAAAATGAGAAATGGGAGCAGCATCTAAAACTTTTACACAGGTAAAAATAAAACATAAAAATAAACTGAATAAAAGGTGTTAGGTGTATCAACACTAATATTTGTATACATTTTATATGGTCTTGGTAAATAGGTGTACTGAACACAAATTCTACAACCTGTCGAGAATTATTTAGCAAAACGAGTCAAATTTCTTTTGAAAATCAGGGACGAATAAAAAATAAAAAAGAAATAACCCAGAACATTGTGTTTTCAAGTTTAAGCTTCGTTTCCAGACTCAATGTGTAACTTAAATAAATCTATATCGCTTGCTTGTCTTTATGTTCTTTTTTAAAAAGTTATGATGTATGACAAACAGAAATCGCTTTAGATTGAGGCAGTCAGAGAATTGAATTCTGTAAAGAATGGTAGAAGTGAGTTCTTCTAGTTTTGCAAGAAAAACGAACAAAACAAGCAGCTAAGCTCCCAAACAGCTAACTAGTGTTAGCATGAAGTGGCTAACTCTCCTACAGGCTCGTGCACTTTTATTCACTATAAAAGCGAACACAAAAGTACAGTTACGAACCGGAAGTCGTCTTACCTACACCCGAAAGCGCTGCACTCTGCTGCCAAATGGTTCTGGTGGGTAAATTCCAGCCAAATAGAAGTTGTTTGTACTTCTTAAGTCATAATGTGGCGAAAAAAAAAAATAATGTGGTGAACAGAGTAACTGTAACCTGCTCGCGAGCAGTCCGCTACAGAAATGTCACTTAAGCTCCGCCTCCACTTTCTCTGGTTACAGCGGCTGAACATGTGGCAACAAGCAGGGGACCCCCCCACCTATCTATGCCCCCACCTGTCTGACAGGATTAATGAAAGAGTTTTTATTCACACCACTGTCAGGTTTCCCACCATTATGGCACTACTTAAAGTGCAGCACTGTGCAAAAGTCAGGCCGTATGAAGTACGGGTGCTGCAGGTGCGCAAGCATCCCCCTATGGGAAGAAATAGTCCAAACACGTGCTTAAAGAATTTACCGTGTAGTATTCGGGTCACGCTAAGAATAAATAAATAAATTACAATACAGGGGGGGAAAAGTACATTACGAGAAAAAAGTCACAAAATTACGAAAATAAAGTCGTAATACACTGCCTGGCCAAAAAATGGTCACCATCAAACAAATCGTTGGACCGCCTTTAGCTTTGATTAAGGCATGCATTCGTTGTGGCATTGTTTCGATAAGCTTCTGCAATTGTCACAATATCTTTAATTTTTTGGGTTTTTTTTTTTAGTTTTCTACATTCGCCTTAGAATCTAGCTGTTTTTACTTTTTTTTGCCATCTTATTTGTAATAATAATAATAATAATAATCTGTATGCCTTTTTATAACTGTCTATTGTTGTAGCTGTTGTCATTGTTGTCATCATTCTTTGTTGAAATCAGGTCTCTCTTGTAAATGAGTCCTCGAGGCTCAATGGGATTTACCTGTCTAAATAAAGGTTGAATGAAAAAAAAAAAATTCCATCCAGTGTTGCATTAATTTTTCACCAAGATCATGCATTGATGACTAGACACGATGGGTGCATCACTTCACCTGCCTCATTTCTTACCCTGATGCGCCCATCACTCTGGAACAGGGTAAATCTGGACTCATCAAACCACATTACCTTTTTTCCATTGCTCCAGAGTCCAATCTTTATTCTCCCTATCAAACGGAAACATTTTTTTTTGGGGGGGGGGGGGGGTAGCCTCACTGATTAGTGGTTTTCTTAAAGCTACACAGCTCAGTCCCAATCCCTTGAGCTCCCTTCACATTGTGCATGTGGAAATGTTCTTACTTTCACTATCAAACAAAGCCCTGAGTGCTACTGTTGTTTTTCTTCGATTTGATTTCACCAAACGTTTAAGTGATCGCCGATCACGATCATTCAGGATTTTTTACCGGCCAAATTTCTTCCTCGAAGACGATGGGTCCCCACGATCCTTCCAGTTTTTAATGATGCGTTGGACAGTTCTTAACCTAATTTTGTAGTTCCTGCAATCTCCTTAGATGTTTTCTCTGCTTGATGCCAATGATTTGACCCTTCTCAAACAGACTGACATCTTTTCCACGACCACGTGACGTGTCTTTCGACATTGTTGTTTAAGAAATGAGAAGCAACTCATGTAAAATAACTTGTTGCCAGCTGAAAGATAATCGCCCATGCAGTAATTATCTGTGGCTCGTACCCATTTGCTTAGTTAAATCAAGGTGGCAACTTTGTTTTTTGGCCAGGCAGTGTATTACGAGAACAAAGTAGAACCAATGCAAAAGTAAAATGTTAATATTACGAGAATAAAATCCTCATATCAGACCTCCGACATGAAATATCAATGTTACAACTGTGGAAAAATGATGAACATGTTGAGCATCTTGTTAAGTTATACTTTGGTATTGGTTTAACAAATAAGGAAATACTTAATCTGTTAGCACATCAGCATCAGATTATTATCAGTATCAGGACTTTGAAATAATTGTGCAAACGACTGTCTCTTTCGAAAAAAAGAACCACGCAGATTTGGAAGATATTGTTTCTTTAGTGGAAGAGCAGCTTTCTGGCAGTGGACGGCTGCAAGGCTACAGGTCGTTACATCTGTGTGCCATTCAAAGAGGTTTTGTTGTTTCATTAAAATACATACGAGTTTATTTTCATACGACCTTATTCTCATATTGTGACTTTATTCTCGTAATATTACTTTATTCTCGTACAACTACGACTTTATTTTCATAATATTTTGACTTTATTCTCGTAATAGTATGACTTTATTATCATATTTTTATGACTTTCTCGTAATTTATTTATTTTTCTTATCATTGCCCTAATAGTCATAAGAATTACAAAAATGGGAGTGGGGTTATGTTTTGTTAATTCTGTATATGTTTTAATTCTATTAATTTGATATTATTGGGAGCTTATATAAACCAGTGTTATTGTATATATATATATATATATATATATATATATGAGCAAAATTATACAACCAGTTCTTTGTTTTGAAATCTGTTTAAGGAGGAAGTGTTTGCAAACCTCAGTACTGTTAAGGCACTTTATGAACATATGGTTAAAAAAAGCACACTTTGTTCCCATTTTTTTTGTTGAAGTTATGGAAACAAATACCAAAGAGAAGACATCTAACAAGGTGGACCTGTCTTAACCTTGTTAGATTCAATTACCTGGATCAAACCTGGCAGCTGTGGCTGAGCGGTTAGAGCAGTCGTCCTCCAATGCAAGAGTGGGGGTTTGAATCCACCAGCAGTCACATGCCCAAGTGTCCCTGGGAAAGACACTGAACCCCTCATTGCCTCTGATGTGTGTCCCATCGGTGTATGAAAGTGATAAAACACTGATTAGTCTTTGTATAGTTATAGTAGAATGCTGTATGAATGGGTAAAAGACAGATTTTAAAGCACTTTGAGGATCTTGATAAGATAGAAACGTGCTATACAAGTAGTCCATTTATCATTGAGCATGCATCAGGATACAAAGGGAAGAAAGTTTAGAAGACATTAAATAGGCGATTCCTACATTTATGTTATCTGAAAACTTGTTCAGTTGAAGGATGGTGCATCTTTCAGGTCCTGCTTTAGGTCTTTGCTGGCTTTCTTAAAGATACGACTTTTAGATGGTGTTTGTATGGATGGATGGAAGGATGGACAGCCGTTTCCTTAGACATACATATTTTTGTTCACTCGTTTTTCAGCCACTGCACAAGGTGCAAGGACTGGACTGAATTTGAGTGGAAAAACAGCCTTATTCTAGTGGACGGGTGTCAAGTCAACCTCAGTTATTGAATGGAGTCAAAATAAATACATGGTCCAAACAACAGGCCAATTTTAGTCAATACCTTGGTGGCAGGTTCATCAATAAGTTTGATCAGTCTCAGTCTCTGTTGCTCATCCACATCAAATTCAAGGATTACTGGAAAAACGATCTCTTTTCTGGCTTTAAATATAGCCAGCTGAAATCTGCACTAAATGAAGTATTTATCAGTTTTTATACAAAATGTGAAGAAATCCAAATATGTTACATTTAAAATATGATCGTGGGGCAGATAAGATGTTAACGGCTAGATTTGTCCTGCAGACCTCAAGTTTGGCATGTGCTCTAGAAAAAAAAAAAAAAACTTTTCAAAGATCTCCAGAAAGCCTGAACAGCTAACATAAGCGCTTAAAAATGTATTTTTTTTAAAATTGGCGTTCTTGAAAGCAAAGTAATAGAAATGATTTAAAACTTCTGAACAGTATCGTTTACATACTAGTGAAAAAGTCATTTTTATACAAAACATGATAATGAAAATCCTAACAATGTTGGAAAAAAAAAAAAAAGTGAAAAGTACGTTGTCTGGTAAGCAAAGCTATACAAAAAATAATGACATTTAAAATTTCCCAATTCTTTTAGTACAGAAAAACAATGAAACGTATTAGTGTTAAAAAATAATTTATGTTTATTTCTTCACATAAATCAGATTTTTAATGTACTTTTATACAAATATTCTTTCAACAAATTTCTCTCCAACACAAAAATACCTATTATGTTACAGGCGCGCGCACACACACATACACACACACACACTTACAAACACACAAACTAAATGAGCCATTGGCACTTTGGACATGAACAGTTTGCATTGATCTGCTGGTTTAGGTAGGTCATGCAGCGCGATAGTCGCCATGTCTGTAGTACGATGCCCCCCACTTTCAGGGGGGACCACCCTTGCCGACACACAACCCGTGCTACAAATATGGATTTCTTAAAACCACAATCAACATGTACAGATCACAAGTAATGGTAAACACACACGAGTTATGGCAGGAAGATGTAAATGTTTAAAAAAAAAAAAATCCTAGAGGTCCATATTTAAGATTAGCTCACTTCTGCTCCTTTAAATTACCACTTTTCTGTAGAATAAAAGAAATATTAAAGCAGATTTTTAATAATAGGAACTTCAAATCTTTTGAGGATATCTGAAAAGCAGATGCATAAACATGTTCTCCTTTAATGATTTAATAAACCGTGAGAAGCCTTTAACTTGGCCTTTTCTGCATCACTTAACTCCATCTCATGCCCCCCCCCCCAAAAAAAAAGAGGCACAGACAAAGGAATGATCGTTTCCTTCACCAGATTAATTCACCCCAAAATATCTCTCCAACATAATAACTGCACGTGAAATAAAACAAGTCAATTTACCACGACAGCTGGTTCGTGTTGCTAAATTTGGACGGTCAACCAAATTGTTCTTTTTTTTTTTCCTTTTAAAAACCTTAAAAATTTACTTTAAGCGGAAAATAAACTCCTTTTGAAACCTCCGTTTATCTCAACAAATGCAAATTTGGACAAAAAAAAAAAATAACACACATGCAAAGCGTTTTCAAATATTTAAATACACAATGAAAACTCCTAGTGAACAAAAATGTTAAAAAGCCAAATGAAAGAATTTAAGATCGCTTTAATAATCTATTTAATATTTAAGAACGGTCTGAATTTGGCAGCTGATGATAAAAACATGTTTCTTTTATGCGTACACATTTTCTCTTTCCACCAGCAGAGTACATTGAGGGTGTAAGGCAGCTTGGAAATTCTTCTCCCCCTCCTAAAAAGGTAAAGTAACCGTTATCCCATACTGGTTTAACCTGTGGCCGATGCTCCATCTTTGTTTATATTCATGTCTGATGCGGTCATCCTTGCTACTGGGCGTTTAGACAGGGTTTATGTTTTTGGTTTTTTTTGGTTCTTTGTCAGGTAAACAGTTCTGACACGCTCTATCCATCCGTGTTATAGTCCCCGTCGTCAACACCGTCTCAGGCCTCATGTGGTCTTGTCTTTCTGGTTGCAGTTGCTGTCTGTGCTGTTGTGATCCATCAGGTTGAGCTGTGCGATGTCCTCCTGCAGGTTGTTCTGCTGCTCTTTTGTCTGCCCGCGCCTCGATTTGACAGGTAGGACCAGCATGATGAGCAGACACAAGAGGTGCAACGAAAAGTACCAGGACCTGCAAAATGCAACAAAGCTGAGCTTGTTATGAGCAGTATTTGAGAAATAATTCAAATAATAATTGTCAGCGTGCATGTGCTTCTGTTAGCAAAATATCTCAAACCACTGGACATATTTTGACGAAACTAATGAAATATGATGCACATTTACAACCAACTAACTTTTAGAGTCAATGTGCTTCAAAATGTCTGCTAAGAGCTAAGTAACATTACAAACACAAAATACCGAGCTACAATTTGATGCGACAGTAGCTGGATCTTGTAACCGTATTTTTCAGATTATAAGGCTCATTAAACAAAACAGTCACGTAAGTTAAACTTCATTCAGCTCATTCACAATAACCACATAAAATCAGCTCGAGGTCAGTGAGCACAACCAGAATTAAAACATACGGCGCACTGGATTATACGGCTCACTGTCGATTTTTGAGAACATTTCAAGGATTTTAAGTGTGCCGTACAGTTCGAAAAATACGGTACTTTTTGTGTGCGACTTTTCACAATCTCAAATGTTATTTGATCAAGATTTGACCAAAAAAAATAAATCTAAAACCTTATTATTTCTACAAGATTCAATCATCTAAACTCTGGCATGAAAAGCAGTGGTCAATACTTATTCCTTTAAGAACGCTGGGCCTTTAATTTAATAAATAAATTTAACCTTAACAACAACAAAAACATATGAATAAACCTCAGAAAAATCTCAGCTTTTTGCATAAAATTTATTGTTAAAGTCAAAATTTAAAACTGTACGCGTCTTTGGCTCGTGAGTTATGTCCATTTGGTTTTTTTACCACCACTTGGCACTGCTGAAGTCTGGACCTTTATTTTACGGCTGGGCAATGTTGGGACCGCTCATTTTATTTCCTGCTCGTCAGTCCTCCTCATTAAACCGTCTTGTTAAACCATTACAGCCTCACAGCAGAGACCCACGCTTTTAAAAGTGTTCATTTTCTACACTGGGAGCAGTGATTTCATTTGCATCCCTTTATTGTACAATCATTTTACACAACAGCAATGAAAACAAGTATGAGCTAACAGAATTTCATTAGCTTAAAGCTTTGTTAAACCAGTATAAACCCACGTACCTGTAGAATTTGAGCGAGGGTTCTACGGCGAGTAAAACAAACGGCGCCACCGTGTAACTGATGGCAACCTGCGTGGACGCCCACGTGATGACGTCATAGAAGCACTTGAGTGAGTCGGAGGCCAAAAAGTACGGCCTGATGTTGTGCCTTACCTTCGAGGAACATAATAAAAGAAAGAAAAACATTAAATTACTCCAGATTCATTTTACTTTACAGTAAACGCACATTAAGGTAACTGACCTAGTTTAACATATTCTGCCTGCTTCTGCTTATTATTCGTTTGTTTTTCCCCACTCGGTTTCTGACATTTTTCTACTATAGAACTCTTTCGTAAAAATAAAAATAAAAATAGCCAGAGCGTCTGAGTGGCAGCCACATCAGATTCAAGGAGGAACTGGTCACTTTCAGGTTAACAGCAACAACGAATGGGGACTGTAGGAACGCACATGCGAAACAAACTTACAGTCCTGATGTTTCTCTTTATACTTAAGTTTCCAAGTTTATTATCCAGAGTTGGAGAGCATTTCTACCGTTTGATCACTCCACCTAAAGTCTCCAAATGCCCTCGTTTTTTAATACAAGTGAAAAAGGAAGCCAGACTTGGCAGAGAATAGCGCTAGTGGCTCGATATGTAAATTCAAGTTTAAGTGGTGCATTACTTCATCGCTCGCTCTCCATTAAGTGATTTTCCTTTGTGTTCCTTGGTTTTTAACTAGTTGTGAAGAGTTTAAAGGCTTATACTCTAGTAAGCAAATTAGTTTCTATCGAAAATATACTTTTTTGGAAAATAGCCACTATATTACATAATGTAAACAGAGCAATGTACACAATCATAAGATTTTTACTCTTTTAGGCCATTTTTTTTCCTGGAAATTCGTCTAAAATGAGCACCGTATATACAGTGACGTGTGTACTCACTGCACGTGCAGCCATCGTCATGCTGGTGCCTGTGACGAAGGTTAGGTAATAGCCGGGGTACACCCCATGCCACAAGGCCGACAGGAAGAAAGTGGCTGCTGTGGGGTTGACGGGAAAGCGCTCGTAGCACACCCTGAGAGGAACACAACACGTGCCCAGTTAAAACAAGTAAAAACAAAGTAACATATCGTTTGTAATCTCATACAAAACAATAATTCACATCTTTAATTAAAGCATGAATGTACATTATTTAAACTCCTAATAAGAGTTTGTTTTCACACACAAACAGAATACAGCACTCCTTTTTTTTTTTTTTAACCTTTTCAGCCAGTGACTTGTTTGAATGTTCCAGTTGTCTAGAAACAGCTTGAAACTTGTGGCAAGCTGCAATTAGAAGCAGAAAAAAAAAAATGTGTTAAACTTCTTTAGAAACTGTGTTTTTATTGTGGTCAAACAAAGTTCACAAATTAATACAAACCTCAATGTCCAGAATTCTGAGGTTTGAGATCAGGTCCCATCGTGGGGAGCCGTCCGAGTTGTATCCATTGAAACCAAATCCTGCAGCGTTGTTGATGGCATCAGCTGCAGAAGAAGAAATATTATGACAGTTAAAAGAGCAGAGAATAAAATTCATAACATGAATGCCTGTGTTATGAAGTGGAGGCAAAAAGCTAAAATAATATGTTGCAGTTCAAGCCTACCACTAGATGGCAGTGTTGTATAGAAATCCTGTTAGCTTTATGGGCTCATCTTGCTTATTAATAATGCAATGAAAATTTGCCAAAATTTATAGGCTTGAAAAATCATATGAAAAATTCAAATGAACTATTTTCATTCAAAGAAGCAAACAAAAACAAAATCAGCACTCTTAAGGTCAACTGACCCTCAAATTTCCTTCACGAATCATTTTAAATTGAGTGCAGTTTACTTAATGTGTCATTTTGGAGGGCAGACTTTTCTTCTGTTTGCACAGTCATGAGTCTGATACTGCAATATAAAATCATTTTATATAACATTACATGCAGAGGCATTATTTATTTTCTTTAACCAACAGATAAACATGCTGAACTCCAGAAACGGTCATGTCAGACTCACCCAGAGTCCAGACAAAGTAGTACTTTGGCCTCAAAGCCAGCATTGCCAGGTAAAGGTAGATGACCTGGAGATAAGCAGGTGCAGTTCTGACAAAGTCATTGTTTATGGAGTAGTCCACCGGGAGCAGCTTGTACAGGGACAGATAGATGGCCAGACAGAGGGCACACGTGCACAGCTTGGAGATGACAGCATTCTGGGCAGATGAAAAAAAGCAAAGCAGATAAAATGAAGCAGTTTGATTATGCCTCATTAGAGTATCTGCTCCGTTTCCAAAAGTGCATTGTACCTTTGGTGAGGGTTCACTGTGCGTACACTTTCCGTTCTCCTTGCCGTTGGCGTTCTCCTGGTGCCGCGGCTGATAGGACCTCCCTTCAATGAAGGCTATGTAGTCGTTGTAGGAGCACGTGGGGCCCGCCAAGATGCCCATGAAGTTACAGTTGTAGCTCAGGTACTCCAACAAACTAGGCATACGGCTTGAGGGTAGGTGGGCAGGGAGAGGGTTACATAGTCAGGAAACAATTTTTAATAATGACATCATGAATTGTTTCATCCATTTGATAGAGTATATAACACACAGTCTGCCTTTGGTCTTAAACACCACTGTGGTTCATTTGATTAAATTGTCTGGAAAAACGCAGGGGACACCGAGTGACCCTTTTTTGGTTCTGCACTTTCACTTGAAAGGTCTTCACTGGAGGCGAACTGACTGAACATGAGCTGTGGTTGTTTCGACTGTTAATTCTCTCACCTCCCCAGCAGCGATCTCAGAGTGAGCACAGGGAATAGTGATGCAGAGCTTTACACTTTGGGCCTTTAAAGTGCACACTGGTCCAGATGATCACTGTGATTTTACTTCTATTAACTCGTAGCTGTACGAGTAGAAGATGGTTTTGCAGGATTCAATAAACTACGTTTTGTAGCATCTCCAGCACAAATGCAAGCGTGAAGTTTGCAGTTGCAAATGACGTGCTGGGGGTTGCAAGTTAAGAGCTTTTAAGTTTCTACACGAAACCAAAAAGGCGGCGTTTCAAAGAGTCAAACTGCACAGACCAGTGCAGACAGGGATGACCACATGCAGGTATTTCTGCAGAAATGAGTGAAAGTTTGTGTGTTAAATTAATTGCATGCCTGATGTAGTCACATTTTCTGACCTTTTTTTTAAATTATTATTTTGCCTTTTCAAAACATTTAAAGCATACTGGCCTTGTACTAAGTAAATGGAACAAAATAATAATGTTGGTGCTGCTTTTGCTGCAAACTCTCCTTCTGTTTTATCTGTTGAATAAAAATAATAATTTATGTACCAATTTAGACTTTCCATTTCTAGCTAAGTGGATTGAAGAGGATATATTTTAATAAAAAGCATAAACGTAGTGCAGCATAATGAATTACAGGCATCCCTACAACATGATTCATTTAATAGCAGTCAGTGGTTTCCTAGATACAGATTGCTGAACAGTAAACCGATTTAAAAAAAAAAAAAAAAACAAATGGGAAGGGAATGTGATAGTTTCCAATGCAGCAAGCAAAAAAAATTTGTGAAAAATAATTCTTTTGCAGGCAGTGCCCACAGAATATACATTTTAAATCTTATCAAGAGTCTATTTTAACTTGACTTAACGAACTCTTCAAGTTGAAGCATCAAAACATACCTGAGTCACATACCTGATAGCTAGGTATTTCTGACTGGGAGTCAGCTGCGCTTCTCGCTTGCTTAAACCTACACACACACACACACACACACACGGAGAAAGACACTTGTTAGAATGCCCAAATACACTGAGCACCATGCATTTTAGATCAAATTAATTTCTAAACTCAAGGTTAGTGGGAATTGTATGAAAACATATAGGTCAGAGATATGTGGATTTTTAAGATAAAAACTATACTATATATTTATAATGTGTAAAAACTATGGGGATGTGTGAACGGTCCTGCAATGTAAACAAGAGAGAGGGAGCAAAATGAGCAAAGGCAGGGTGATACAAGAGAGTGAGCAGGTGGCTGTGTGCATAATCTCAAATAATGTGCTCAAAACAGATTGTTCCACTGCTCAGCCTGCACGTTTGTAACGAAAACTTGTGGCTATGCAGCGCATTAAACCACGCAAGTAAAAAGCTGGACGAACAAAGTTATGTTTAATTAAATATAGCCAATTCTGAACTGATGATTTATTGCCATAAAAAGACTCTGTGTACGAATACACTCCTAAGAAATTAAATTTTATTACAGCCCTTTGTAGCACTGATTAAAACTGCTGCATGCGTGTAAAAAATAACCAGCTATTGGGTTTAAAATGTCACAGTGTCAAGAGAATGTGTGTTTTTTGCACTCGCCATGTTCCATAATTTTACTTGATTAATATAGACTGTACCTGCTCTTTTTTTGTTTGCATTAATGATAGTAAACGTTTACAGGATCCTTTCTCTAATTATCATTCATTCCTGATGTGACCATCGGTAAGAAGATAGTTGAGAGGTCATCCGTTATCACGCTGGAGACTTTTGAATGTAATGGTGGACGCACTGATTATTCCCCGTAAGAATCCTTGAGAAATGTTTACCTCCAGCGGCTGCCTTTGTGCAGCTGCTGAGTTCAGTTCTGCAACAGTCTGGGACACTTTTTCATCATGTGAGCTCCTTTTAAAATGACCAAGTCAAAGTAAGCTACCTACTATAAAGCCCCGTTAACATTTCCAGAGGCTGTTCTTGTGTAAAGTGTTTTTTCAATTATTGGGGTAATAAACAAAAAAAGAGCTGATTTACACGAAAACGCTGTAGTTTCCATGTTAGGGTTGCCAGATAAGAAATTCTGAACCATATGAACTATAGTACTGTCCCTTTAAAATGATAGTATTTTGACCTAAACTGTCATATGTGCTGAGTAAATATATTCTAAGATGAGGTGTGTGTTGTGTTTGTTGAACATGTGCACAGAAAAGGGGGTGGTAAATAAGATATTTTAAATTTATCCTAGTGGAAAAAAAAACCCTGAGCTGCATTCATTGTGCATGCAGTCTGCATGACAGTTATGTCCAAACTAATGAACACACCAACGTCTCTTTGGACCCTGTATTTTATTAGTTTTGCTCCTACATATTGAAAAAGGGTAAGCAGCACAAAAACACCCTGCTCTCTGCCAATTATTATAACTGTTGTTAGTGCAGAAAACTTTGGACTGCAGCCGCCAGTAGTGCACATGTGCAACTTCACACTTGGAGCATTTCACACCTCCGTGGTGGGTTCCCCCGAAAACCTCCACAGACCTGGATTCAGAAACCTTCGGTTTCAGTGAGAATGAGGGCTGTTGTCATGTCAACGAATGGCCGAACCGCAGCCCAAAGGCTGAAGTTTCACGACGTGTAAACAGGACTGGCTGCCTCGTATGTCAATCAAGCAACAAATTTTATAGTGAGGATGGATGATAGGCTGACAGATATTTTTTTTAATGCGATGCGATCTACCCACAATACCTTTGTGGTGGACTGGTGGACTGCAACCGGCTGGTCGACTGGTAGATTGCAAATGACGTATTTGACGCGCCTGGTCTAGGACAAGGCAAAGGGGAGGGGCAGACCCCCTGATGAGTTCTCTACAAAACTACAGTAACCTTTTCATTTCAGGAAGTCAGAATAGTTCAGAACCTCAAACAGGTGAAGGCACTGATAAGCTGTACTTGTAAAAGCATTGATCTGTGATTGTTGGCTGTTCTCCAAAGCTTTGTAATAAATCTGATGACGTCTACACCTGGTCGTTTTGGGAATCCCTTTCCAACGATAACGGTTCAGTCGCAAACATTCAGAGAAGATTCATTCACCTTCTGTTTCTTTGGATTCTTTCTTGTAATTAAACAACTGTATTTTAAGCTCCGATGTCAACTCTTCATCTAAACGGACTCTTTGTTGCCATTTAAGGTGCATGAGTTGCAGCAGTAAACTAAAATACAGAGAAAGTCTCATTTCAGGTCAGCTAGCGGAGGACAAAAGGGACTTTGGCTGCACAGCCCTAAAGGTCAGAGGATCTGCAGCACTTCAGAGTCACAGGACTGACTTATTATACATTTAACTCCGATTTATACATTTCAATAAAGGTTACAAATCATAGATAACACCATGAAGCTGTTATGGGTTTAAAATCATACATGAAACCGTTCCAAACAATGCAGGAGAACAAAAAATGGCACACTTGCTCATCAATCCATGACATAACTGTGTATATGCTCTCTTTATGCTTCATTAAGCTGTAAACTGAACCGTCTGAAATAAGGTGATGTTTTTGAGCTCCTAAAAGAATTGAACTGGCATTTTCACTTCAGTCACATCAGGCTTGTTGTTGATGTCGTTTTTCTTCTTCTCAAAAGATGCGCGCGCACACACACACACACACCTACTGAAAACACACTTGTCTTACCATCATGTATTTCAAATGCCATGCTGGTAATCTTCTGTGTTATGACCATCATGGGCCTGCCAAACGGAGACAGAAGAAATGCACAACTTATTGAACTCTCATTAAAGAAACAAGACAAAAACCTTTGAATAAACTGCAAATCAACCATTTATTCTGTTTTTGATGGAAATCGTTATGTACATGGTTAGTCATTGACTTTAAGGAGTTATTCAACAAGTTATCCAATTAACTTCATCGTAGGTTAATCTAGTTGCGCTTGTGATAGAATTACTCAGCTCATGGTCTTAAATGCTAATTTATTCAGTAATAAACAGTAACACCAGCTGCTGCTGTTTCTTCACAATGGGAGGAAGCTCCTCCCAGATAAGCTCCAGAAAGTAAAAAAGCTTTATTTTAATACTTTTATTTTTCCTTTTCTGAAAACACTAATCTGCCGTCCTCCTTCTGATACGATGACTTCATTCTCCATTAAAGCAGGATATGTATAATATGTAGTGTGATATAGTTACTTAATAGTTGAATACATAAAAACTGGAAGCATGAAATTAAGATAAAGAGTAAAAATAAAACTAAATGCATGGACTGAATCGATCAAAAACAGACGTCTGCACTTGTGGCTTTAGGGCTCAGGCTGACATTCAGAACAGCATGTGAACATGACATTTTTAAGCAAAACAGATGGACATGACAAAAAAAAAAAAAAAGGAGTGTGTGTTTGGCGTCACCGAAGCTGTATGGGTTTGCATTAGGTCGCGTAGCAACAAGCCACCCCCACCCCACAGGAAACACAGGCTGTCTGCTCGAGTTAGCAGACAGTCTGAAGGATTGAAACCAATAAAAAGAAACTCTCGTCTCCGTGAACAGAGCCATGCTTGCTCGTTTCTGCGTAGCTCTGAGCTCTCCAGTCATATCCAATATCCTCCCTCGCTATACTCGTACCGTAAATGCAGCTCTTTCTGCATAAATTTATGATTCATATGGGATTCAAACATTTTGGAAAAACTTTGTGATGTTAGATGAGCTTACCCTGTAAAGTCTGCAGAGTACATGCCGTAGTCGAAAACGTAGACTCTTGTGATTTGACACAGGATCAGATAACCAAGTGTCACGACGAAACAGTACCTGCGCAGAGAAGGAAAGAGGAAAAGGGAAAATAATGAGTCTGCTGTGAAAATGGTTAAAATTAAACGCATGGCATCACTTAAAGGAATAAACATCATCTGCTGCCTTCAATGCCTGCGTTTAAAACTAAGAGTTTAGGAGAAGAAGGGAAACAGTTATGAACAACCCAACCACAACAATTTGTAGCTCACTACTTGTAAAATGTATCGTTATATCTGGCGTTTCTCTTTTTGAATCTGTAAACTGTGGTGACCATTTTGAATTTGATTGGCTCCAAATTATAATTAGCTGAAGGGGTATATCCAGTGATTACCGGTACTTGCTTAAGTTTCAATAAATTCCATCGGGCGGTAAGGTCAGTGAATAGTTTGCTAACAGGGTCGTCTCTGAAGAGTTGATGGCAAAATGTTAAAAGGTGAATGTTAATGGAAATATCTTAAAGATCTTCCACAATCTGTTAAAGCTCATATGTGTTGGGAATAAGTCTCTACCATGTAAAATATTCAGTCAATATCTACAAAACTGACAAAGTTATAGCCATGTTGGTGTATGTGAAGGTAAGTTGATTGCAGTGGTCTTGAATTGCATTATTTCAAGAGCTGATTAGTAGTTGCAGACGTTACTTTCTGTTAGAATCATTAAAATGTGTCCAATGCTTCATGAGACACTTTGGTAACAGACACAGGCAAAAACATTACTGTCCACCTTCCCCTTTTGGAGGCGGAAACAAACAAAAAAAAAAACGCACGATCAGCACAAATAAGAAGACATTGTTCAGTGAAAATGATTCTGGACCTTTCGTCAGAAAGGTGGAGGACAGCAGAGCAGTGCTCAAGCTCAAAGCTGCTGCTGAGATAACCCGAGTCAAAAAGATAGCTAGAGAGCCTCTTGCTGCCAACAATTATTCGACTGTGCTGTTCTGGGACATCACATCTTAAGAGGCAGGACTGAGTTGGACAAAAGACACAATGGAGCTCTTGCTTCTAAATGTTGGCTAAACCAGTCAAAGGAAAGACGTCACCCAATTTCAACTGCCAAACTGGTTTAAAACTCATTAAATGCGACACATTGCTCATCTAAACTCAGAATACTCACAAATAACCATAACATCCACGCAGAAACAAAGAGATCATCATTATGCAGTCCTGTGTGCTTTGAGGTTTCTATGACTGCGCTCCGCTCACACTAGGAAACATTTCTGAGGACGTGACTAAACATTTCTCAGCAGCATCCTGCCCAAATGTGAGACTACGCAACTTGTTGCAGCGATCCAATTTTCTGATCAACCGTTCACCAACAGAAAACATTTATGGATCAATACAGAGTTTCTATACAAGAAAGTACAAGGAGTTTTCTGACCTTTCTGGTCTTTAGCTGCTTCAAATTCCTCAGGCTTCACTTTGATCGTTTTCCGTCTTGTTTTTGAGTAGCTGCTGAACATGTTCTGATATATTTGTGATTTGAATTTACAAAACCAGAAACACCATTTTATAGGTTAAAAGGTCCAATTACATTTCAATGGTGCACGCATACAGTACACAACTGTTAGAGAAACCATTTCCCACAATATAATTCATATTGTTGAATACAGTTTTATCAAATTTCAGTCTGGTCTTGCATGTAACTGCAAAAACTAGAATATATTGTGTATACAACATGTTTTGTTTGTTAGCAAGAATTAAATTTGTCATTTGGTGGTCCCTAAGGGACTACGTTGACTGGAAATGTCTCCAGTAGGAAACACAAAAAGAAAGTAATAAAGCTTTTTTTTTTTTATTCTGAATTTTAAATACAAATACTTAATCCACGAATAAAATAGATTTGAAACAGAAAATAAAGTGCAACATTATACGTTCACTCTGCTGGTTTTATTGCTCACTTCCAATTTTTGTCTCGGATTTGATCGTTTTTGTGTTTAATTTCTTTTAAATTTCAAATTATTGAAATGCGACCTCCTTCAGACACCACTGAAAACTGCTCACAGTTCTGAGGCGACACCGATACGCTGCATGCTGTTAAAGGAAATAAATATGGATGCTACACATGCTAGCATGTGTGATTCTGAAGTTGTGCAATCAGAACTGATTTGATTATTATCAGACATGACTGTGTGGTCCAGTGTTTACAGTTAATCTTGCCTCGGACAGATTCTCCAACATTGTATCTCCGTAGCTGGAGCAACTGACTGAAGGTAAAAACAAACTAGTGTTGATCCCAGCACCTTGATACAGTACAACACCAACGTTAGTATCATATGTTGCCTCCGATCCTCAGTGATCCAGGACTTGGCAAATTAAAAGGAAAAAGCCGAAGCAACTAGACTCGTGTTCTGCAGCCGAAGACGTGCAGAGATCCAAAATTTAAACTGCACAACGTTGGCCTCACTAATACTTGGATCACTTACCCCTACTTCAGACGTAAACGTAAAAGTCGGATGAAATGCGGCATGACTGTTCAGACTGCAATCGCTTTGAAAAATGGACTGTACTTGTATAGAAAACACTGCATCTGATTTAGTACCATATATGAGAAAAAAAACGATTTGGGCATTTGCCTACAGCGTGCAAGCAGCTTAAAGAACTAGGCTTTCAAGCTTAATTCAAGTTATATTAAAATGAAGCTTACAGTCCGACTCATTATTTTTAAAGGTATGACAGTTTTGTTGCAAGAATTTGCAGTTCTTTCACAGTCCAATCGGTTCCACCACATCTACTAATTTTACAGGGTTCGGTTTGATCCTTGACATCAACCAGCAGGCAGTGCTATGTTCACATATAAAGAAGCAGAGAAGCATCTAGAAGTTTCCCGCTCTCCTCCCCACTTGTCACAGGTGAGCCGAACAAACAGAGTTACGAGGAGAGATTGAATAGTATGAAATATGATGCCTCCAACTTAAAGTGTGGAATTGGTCTACAGCCAGGATGAATTCAATCTTCACAATGAAGAAAGAAAAGGTTTTTGCAGCTTTGTAAAGCCGGAGGATCTGACTGAAAACATTCCCTGCCTCAGTCAGAAGAAACAGTAAAGTTATGCCAAAGTGACAGGAGAGTAGTGCACAAAAAATAAAATTAACATTAAGACAACTTTAAGTAATACAGAATAAGTTAAACTACCTGTGCAGTCACTTCAAAAAGCCAAGGCCTGAGATTAAACTCTGGATTACGTGTACATTCAGAGGCCCAAAGCACGCACAGGTGGTTAAATGTCAACCTGTTGCTGTAGGAAGTCATTTGTTATGCAAAAAATGAGGTAGGGGGTTCAATGGGCTCAGCAAACATCAACCAGTCAAGAGTTTCCCCGTCACTGGTCACTCTCTTCCTGGATCTGCACCTTCATGTCAAGTGCACGCTTCAAAAGCAAAAAAAAAAGTTTTTCTTAAAAAAAAGTAAGAGAAAGCAAACATGCTTATCTTGTAGATTCTTAATTAAAAAGGGTAATTTAAAAAAAAAAGTTAGAAACACAATCAAAAATAAAAATACAGTGGTCACTCGCTACTTCGCGGTTCGTTTTTCGCAGATTCGCTATATCGCGGTTTTTCAAAATAAGATAGGACATGACACAATTGACTGATTGATGGATGAGCCATGGATTGTTTATTTAAAATAAATAATTGTTAATGATTTTGCACCATGTGTGCAGCCCACAAGTGCAGGGGGGCAGCTTCCTCCTGCAGCCTGTCATGATCACCACTCTCTGCCATCTGCTGCAGCAGCTTTGTGAAGGTTAACCCTTCGCTGTCCAGATGCACCGATCGACTTTTGTCTTCCAACTTAAAAATCAAAGAATGTCACATCGTAAAAACCATCATAATCACAAAATATAAAAGTGTTAAAAGTTATTTTTAATTATTTTAGAGCTTCCATGTTCAGTTGTTGCAGTGTAATTGATCAAGAAGTACATTTCTGCACCGTGCTGCTGCTGAAGGGTTAACCCTTTGATGTCCCGCTGCACTCCTCTACAATTTAAATTATTTAAAGGAGGGAGATTGGGAGTAACGGGTGAGTGTGATTGCAGCCTGGCACATGTCATGACAAAGTTTACTGAACTTGAACTACCATATTTTTCGACTACCGGTGAGGGACTACTGTACTACAAAAAAACACTGCCTGGAGACAGAATGTCATCTAGTCGTTTTCATCACTGAATCATAAATCCTCTTTCTGAGAGCAGCTGCTGTTGTGATTAATACGGGCTTTGAATCTATTTAGAGCACGTTCCTCTGAGGCAAACTAACGCACTTACAGTCAAAATAACGTGGCAAAGTGAGAATGTGTGTGTGTGCTTCCTTTATTTTTGCTTGTTAGGACCTTCTCTGGTACCGACCTTGTTGGGACCTGCATGAGCCACATAAGAAAACGATGTCCTTTTTCTAATCGTTTTATTTTAAGTAGGGCTAATGTGTGAATCAAGCTTAAATCAAAGTTAGGATTAGTCTCAATTACTTAATAAAAACAATGCAATAGCCCGATAAGGAAAGTTGTTCAAGTTTGTGTGTGTGCTCATCTTATCGAGCCATGGGTGCAGATAAAAGCCAGGAGGAAAGAATCTGAGCCGTTTTAAATCCAGGCTGACAAATCTCACAAAGAAAGGCAAACCTATACTGTAAAGGCACAGATAAGAGATAAAAACAGAACATTTGATATTTTCTATTGAATTTAACAAAAAAAAAAAAAAGACTAGGCATAAAAAAAATTCAGTCAAGTTTCCAGTTAGGTTCAGTTTTACTTTTCTCAATGAGAGAAACTAAAAAAAAAAAAAAAAAAAAAACTCTTCAAATTTTGATATTTGTGATTGAGCGCTTACTTGTGCATGTGCTCCAAACTGGCAAAAATCATCACACCGTAGGACAGGCCGCTCTGTATCAGGAAATGAAGGGAATACCTGCAGAAACACACACACACACACACACTACAGTGCTTAGAATTGTCCACTTTTATATTCGTAATTATATAAAACACACTTCATTATACCAGACTATCAATTTCATTTTTTCACTCTTTCATTTAAATATCCACATCCTGCTTTGGCATCCGTTACTAAGCTGCTGTCACACCAGCAGTCATACGAGACCGGACCTTTAAAACCACAAATGTATTCCCAGAGAGTCAGAGGACAGGAGTGCGATAATTATACTATTTTTCTAATTAGCCTGCGTGTTTTTTTTAGCTGCACAGTTAGCAGTATTGCATCATTATGGTAAAGAAATATACACACACACGTTATCAAATTCTGCTGTAAATATCCACTCCTTGTCCTGCTGTGAACCACAGGAGGGCACAGCTTGTGCACAAACGCACAAATTAACAGAACGCAGAGTGTGATCCTACCAGCCCTCCAGGAGGAGATGCCACACGAGTCAGAAGTGAAACGACAAGGAGGCCAAGGAGCTGGCAGAGAACACGAGTGTAGTGGAGGAGGATTTACATTAGCACTAAAAATATTAACCGCTCTAAAGATGGGAGAGGGTGTGAAGGAAGTATTTATTGATCTGCTTCCTGATACATTCAATATTACCACATTAATAACATTTAAAATGCTTTTATTACTTTAAGGTCATTGTGAAAGATATAATGCTTTGGCATCACTGATTGTGGAGTGATGGTGCCAGTTTGTCTCCCCACCACCCCCTGCTCTGTAAGGATGTTTTCTGTTAGCCACCTCGGTTCAAAATGGAGGGCTGGGTGGAGTCCCCCCCTTGATGATTTTTAATATTCTATACAATTCAGTTTATTTATACAGCACCAAGTCACAACAGAAGTTATCTCAGGGCACTGAACAGAATACAACCGTTTCATTTCAGGAAGTCGGAACATGTCAGAGACTCAGACAGGACAAGGCATGAATAAGTTCTGTACTTGTAATGTTTTGACGCTCTGCAGGTCTGACCGTTCTCCAAAGCTTTGCCTTATTAAATTTGATGAAAACTACACCTGATGGTTTGTAAATCAAGTTGTTATTGTTGATTTTTTTTCTATGACGAGGGAAAAGAAGAAATTATTACACAAGAAACTGAAACTTGCCTGCAGTGATTTCAACAAGCATGACTTCAGTTTTCAAAAAAACAAAAACAAAACAACTTCCTCTCTCTTGAGCATGCATCAGGAACTTCCTCTCCTTCAACATTCAGCTGCTCCAAGCCGTTTCTTCTTCAGAACCATTTTTGTACATTATTTGGACAATTTGTGCTCTTCAGAGATAAACTTCCAGCGTTCAATCCCTTAAAATAAGCTAGTGCTGTAAAATGTATAAAAACGGTCATGCATTAATAGCAATAATAATAATATATAACAATAATAAATACAAAGCATTCCAAAAATCTGAAGACAACTTTAACCAAACAGCTATCAAATGTGCACAACATTTTGGATATAGCATTGATGGATTTTGCCAGTTCTGTTTATTTAAAATTATTATCTAAAGTTTATTTTGAAAAGTCCTTCACTTCAGTGGACTAGGGTTAGCTAAGGCATGCTTTGTAGTGAACTGCTAACAACTTATATCATTGCCAAGTACTGTGCTTGACCGTACACGTCGCACCAAGTCGCATCAGTCCAAAAATGTCTAATAAAGTGGAAAAAAACAAATAAGTCGCTTCGCCGTAGAAATCGCATCTATTATGCATCACCACCGACAACCCGAAATGAGAGCCGGTGTTGTGCCAACAATCGATTGGCTGCCAAATGGCAGCCATGGGAGTGTGAACAGGAGGACCTTAATAATTTCACAAGATTAACACTTAAAAACAAATTATTTGTTTGCTCAACATTATAGCAAAGGTGTGTCTCAGTTGGACTTTTCTTTAATAAATGCACTTTAAGTCAAATCAGCTGCATTTTGCCTTGGGGGGGTGAAATGCAGCCGATTTGACGTTTGCTCCATGAGTTCCGGAGCGAGACGAAGGTGGCTTAGTATGGCAAGCCCAGTGTCTCATTAATAGCCACTTTCACTATTAATGAGACACTTGGCTTGCCATATTACTCGAGGGCCCTCTAGTGGCTGAAAATGGTAGTGTTCAATGTTTAATATTTTCTATGTCAGAATGAATGAAATAGTCAGCTGTCAGACAAAAATTGGGCTATAAATAGACAAAAAAAAAAAAAAGAAGAGTATATTAGTTGCTTTGGTGTACAAGTCGCAGGACTTGCAAATTTATGCAAAAAGGTGTGGCTTATAGTCCGGAAAATACATTACTAAGTTGTTAGCATAAGTTTTAAGTTAAAACAGTACTTTCAGCCGTTGGGAAACAATGTTTGAAAATAATGCGATGCGTTACAAAAGTCTGCAGCATCCTGTTAATTTTAGAAACCATTTTAAAGTTTTGTTGATGACTTAGAAGATCCTGAATGGGCAGGCTCCTGCAGCCTCAAGTTCCTTCCAGGTTCCTTAGATTGATGATCATTTGCTTTTGGTTGTCCAGGCTGGTCCACAGAGGTGACCGGGCCATTTCAGCCATAGCTCCCAACCTGTGGAACCAGCTGCCCCTTCACATCAGACAGGCTTCAACTCTTATTGTTTTTAAGTCTCTGCTAAAGATATTTTCTCTCGCTGGTTTTTAATACAATGTGAAAGCTGACATTTTGTATCATTAATGGTTTTACTTTATGCCTCGTCATATTTTGAACAGTTTGATATTATGTTTGGTATTGTCTTTTAATTATTTGTATCATGTGCAACACTTTGACAAACAGCAGTTGTTTTTAAATGTGCTAAACTAATACATTTGATTTATTTTGGTTTGAAGTGACTTGACCTGGCAGAATAGAAAAAAGTGGGCAAAAATGTTGTGCGATCTAAGACCTGTTTTTATATTTTAAATGTTTTTTTTTTGTCTTTCCCAGAATATTTTACTAAGCTTATTTATTTACTAAATAGAAGAAAAAAACACCCACTCACAGCTTAGCAAAGTCTTGTGCTTAATGACAAATTTTGTGATTCATTTCCTTTCCAAGAAAAACAATTCGTCTTAAATAGATGTTGGGCTTATAGGCATCAAACACTGTTCTACAAAACCCATCACCTCTAGGTTTTAACAGGTTGTTTCTTTTTATTTTTATTTACTATAACTGCAGAAACAGGAAAATAATATCCATCCATTATCTTTACCTGCTTCTTCTTTTTTTGAGTCATGGGGGTCACTAGTGCCCATATCCAGCAGTCACTGTGCAAGAGGCGGGGGACACCCTGGACAGGTTGCAAGTCCAATAAATAAATAATATTAAACTAAAATAACTGGTAACTTTTGTCAGAGGTTATGGAATTATGGATGTATTATTACTAACATTATTTCCCCTAAGACAAACAACTGAATTGTCTCCCAGAACTCTCTCTTATCCTAAAGAGATGCCCGTGGACTGTATCTGTGAAGGTCAGGAGGGCCATGTGAGACCGCAGCTGGATTAGAGGACACCCACTGAAACCTTGTTAAGCTGATAGGGATATGAAAAGCAAGGAGACAATGCAGAACTTTGCAGATCATTGTGACTGGGTTTTATGTGTTTACATTTAATGAATATTGATGTGAACTGTTCCGATATCTGACCTTGAAAGTAAAATTGTGTCGGAGATAAAGGTGAAGTAGTGGGCAACTATGTAAGCATCCGAGGAGCAGTTCGAAATTAGGCGTCCTGCTCAGAGACACCACGAGGTGTGCAATGACCGGGGATCGACCCCAGGACCTCCGGGGATCGACCCCAGGATGTTCATCTTTTAATGCTTCTGTAAGTGACTAAAATAAAAAAATAAAAAAAAAAACCTCCCCATTATTTTAACAACAAATAATGCAAAGAACAAACCCTGCAGACCTGCTTGGTTCTGTGGGGGGGAACCTTGGATGTTCTGTATGCCAGACCCAGTTCTGGAGGGCAGTCTGGGAGACGGCTACTGCGACCGGTCTCGAGTACTAGAACACTACCTGCTAACGCTGCTAACAACACCACGCCACTAACCGAACCACGCCGCTCACAGTACCATGGTGCCAACAAGACCATGTTGCTAAGAGAAACCTCACTGCTAACAGCATCATGCTGCTAACTGGACCATGTTGCTAAGATAACCCCACCGTCTTCAGAACCACTCTGCCAATAGGACCATGCTGCTGTAGATTTATTTCTTCTTCACTTTGGTGCCTTGTTTCTGTATTTTGTTGCATGCTTTGAATAAATCCTAGTTTATGTTAGTTTAGTTTATGTTGGTGCTCACATTAAGCGTGTACATTATATCTGAACAGAACTTATGAGAATCGTGCTGCTGTTGCTCAGTGTATTGTTTAGCACTATTAGTGTTCAACAGATATTTTAGCGTACCGTTTGGCATTCGTTTAGCGTATATCTTAGTTGAGATCTTAGATCCTTATTTACAGTTTTTTTACACTTTATATTTTTGCTACTGTTGGATGTAACTGGGACCCTGTGTACACAATTTTGTTCCACCTCATATACCACATGCGATGTGAATGACAATAAAAAAAACTTGAATCTTGATCAAATTAAACAGAAGACGAGCATGAGTGTGTTAAATTGTGCAACATGAACCGTCTGTGATGACCAGGTAACACTTTACAGAGTGAGCATTTCCTTCTACTTGAAAGTCAGGATATCCTATCATTACTCTCCTAAAGACATTAACAGTAGCAGCACTTTAAATGGCACCAAGTTAGCTGTCTGGCGGGGCGATTATTACAGAGCAGCAGTTCTCTAATTTGATATATGTTGCTTTGAGTTTGCTTTGGCTAAGAGGAAATAATTAAAGTAGTCTTTCCATTAATTCTTTGGATGTTTGGTTATTCACTTCAACTACAGAGATGCTCAGGTAAATTATCTACGAATTGTGTGAAAGCATTCAGGGAAAATATAAAAATAAAAAAAATAAAAAAAGACGTGGTGTAAAATGGACACTTTAATATGCAAGATGTCATTAACTTACATAACCCATATCTAAACCATCTAGAAGCACTCAGAAAAGAAGGCAAGATTGTGCCAAATTAGAATAATGTTGCAGGAAGACATTCTGATAGGAGTCAAAGGAAGGAAGGAGCAGGGAAGGACAGTGATGAGAAGAACAGAGCTGTGGGATATACAGAGGGAGTGACTCACCAGCCAAAGCAGAAGAGAGCCAAGTACAGGCCCAACAGAGTTGCCACCACATGCCTGACAAAGGGACTGGTTTTAGTGGGGTGGAGGTAGATGCGAAACCCCACGGCCATCAGTAGGGCAAACAGCTGACACGCCACAAAGTTAACCTGCACAGAGAAGCACACAAGACCTCCATCAATGTTCTGCTCACATTTTGAAAAGTTTGAGTGCAGCTTTATGAACACACTGTTCTTATCTCTATGACATAAGACAACCCAAAGCTGGATAGGTGAAAATGTATGAAGGCTTTTTTCATCTTATAATTTATCTGAATGATCCAGTAAGGCAGGCGTATCATTTACCTGCTGCCTAAAGTTAAGGGTGAACAGTAACGCCCATGTTAACGTGAGTGTGTGCGTTTGTTACGAAACCATCTCATAAACCACTGAACCAAGTTTAATGAAACTTGCAGGAAGTAATCCGTGGTTGTACGTCGAAAACTGTTCAACTTTCAGGGTCAATTTAATTCAAGATGGCCCTCACAGCTAATTAACATCAACTAACAGAAATATAACTATAACTCGAGTCAATGTTAGAGCTACTGAGTGGAAATCTGATGCGTTAACAGAGTTCTTCACAACACACTGTGCAACAGAAAAGACGTGTTCGTTATAGTGTAGCGATGTGAAAGGAATGCTAAGCCAGCATGACTACAGCCCACCAAACAGTCTTAGATTCTCATTATCTGATACGCAGGCATTAGACAGTGTAATGTTTGTGTTCAGGTCTGCATATGTCCATTCAGCATAAACAGGGATGACTCAGGGATGATGTTCAACTTACTATGGGGCATCTATGTCTCCCATGTGGCCTGGCTATTAATCACACTTCAACACAAACCTTTAGTGTAAAGAGAACGAAAAAATCTCTGCCTTTTAGAAATGCCAAACATGAGCACCATCCATTATCCATGGATCCTGAATGATTAATGAGGTGGGAAAGGGAGAGGGACGGATACAGTCCGAAGTACACCAGCCCTGCAAGTCACTAGCCAATGTGTTACACGATGTACAACATCCAAAGATGGAGGTTTTATTTGTCCATAAACAAACGTAAAAAGCAGAGCACATGAAACTCGACCAGCGTTCTTGTGATTGCTTTGTTGTGCGGAACGCCACTGGGCCAAATGTCAAGACAACAGAGAAATCCAGCAGGAAAGGCCCAACACAAATAACTGAGCAGGTTCTATTGTCTGAGCCAGACTCAAAAAGAAAAACGACAGCAAACAAAACCTAATCTGCTGGACATTTGTTGTTTTTAAAGAAGCTGTGCCATCAACGCAGCAGACAGTGCTTCTACGCCATCTAAGAGCCAGTTCACATCATTTGTGTCTGTTTATGATCAACAGAAAAGCCAACCAAGCTATGGGTCAGTAAAACATTTGTTGATACTGTTAATGTCTATAGGAGAGGAGAGTACGGAAGAGATGCCGTGACCATCATTATTCAATCATAAATAATACGGTAAGTAGGCCTAGTTTCAGCCTCAGTCATGCTATGACTAGGCCTGTCACGATAACTAATTTTGCTGGGCGATTAATTGTCTCAGAAATTTTTGCGATAAACGATAATATTGTTTGAAATTTGACAATAATTAGTAATTATTGTCAAATATAAGAAGAAATGTTGGTTAATTTGCGTGTGCTACCTTTTTTTGACCACTGGATGGCAGTATAAGATCGTTTGAACCTAAAGATGGATAGTGAGGGAGCGAGTAGCGTGTCTCTAAGAAAAATGGGAGGGAGGCCCCTTGACGTGACATGGGCTGTGTCTCGTTCCTTTTTTTCCTGTTCCCAAAATGGTGGACGGTCGGTGTGGTTTGAGCTCTTTAGCATAGCATTTGTCACACAAAGCTTTTAATTTAAAAAAAAAATCATAAATCAGTAAACAAGTTCTCAGCTTCTTTTTCAGAGAAAAACAAAAGCACGGGTTTCAACTGTGAATTTTGGAGCTTCTACAAGATGGAGGTTACTCCCCCACCCCCGAGGTCGGCCTGTTAGCTTAGCTCATAGCTTAACTTCTCAGCTTAGCTGCTTTTAACGATCCAAAAAACACGAGTTTGGACAGTTAAAATGGATTTTAAAGAAAAGAGAAAAAAGAGAAAGTGAAGGGTCAGTGAAGAGCACCAGAGTTGAGCCTTTTGTCATCCAGTGTCTTCAGTAGAAAGAGACACGAAGAAAGCCGCTAAATGCAAATGGGGTTGGTAATTTTCATTTATCATGCTATTAATTGATTTATTGTTTATTGCGAAAGGCCTAGTTATGACTGACACAACTCTTATTCTGACACACTCTGGGTAAATTCAAACTAACCCAATATTGATGAAAATCTCAGAGGGAATCCAGCTTTAAAGTATGCTTCCACAGCAACAAAATCAAAATGTGGGTTGATGCATTTCAGAGCAGTAAACGAGTTCACACCAAAGACAAACATGTACAACATTAGAATGTGAGATAACCTGAGTCAAACAGCATGAAGTCAGCGGGTCCTTGAATATCCGCTCTGTAAAAGGAAGGAATTTCATGAGGGTGAGTGGAAGGAGCGCAACAGAGGAACTGTATTGTTGAAGCAAACGGAAAGCCGGAGTTGTAAATGACATCCTCACATCTGTCCGTCAGGCTAAGATGTTGTCGGAAACGACAGATTAAGCATTTTGTGTTACATTAGGAACTAAACTCATGGAGTTGAGCTCCTTTTGAAATGATAACTCTGTCCAAGAGGATTTGATTTTATTGCAGGCTTTAAAATGACTCAAATGTTTACTCTGCTGTCCTTTTTGCTTTACTACTTAAACAAGCAGTGGTGTGTTTTAAATGTTCAAAACTAAGCTTGACATCTGAAATTCAGTACACTCCAAAGTAAATAAGTTGTAGTTTCGGCTGGTTTTCTTTAAGAGTTTCACTATAATTCATTCGGTGGTTCATGAGATATCTTAACGCTACAGACAAACATGCACGCACACACAAGCGCTTGTTTTTGTTTTAAACAGATTAACCCAACACTCGGTGGTCAACACATTATTGTGACTAAAGCTGTTTAAGCTGAATGTGTGCTCACTTCGCATGCAATACGTTTAGTTTGATTTATGGTGTGATCCGCAAACGTATGAGAAATGAATCGCCAATGGTTCAGTCAACACCGACAGTGAGACACTCGCCAGCCAACCTGCTAAATTTAACACGCAGATGTGACATTTTACTGTGCAGCGACATTATAAAACATCTTATATCATTCATACACAATTTACATCATGCACCTGCAGAAGACCTTTATTACAGGATGAGGCTAAATGTGTCGTATCAACTCTAACAAGTGACAGAACTTGTTTATTAAAGAAACACTTAGATTGGTTTTTGTCTTCATTTATTCCTAATGGATTTTCTTGTCCATAATTGATTCCTTCTGAAGTCAGCTTCAATTCTGGGTACAGCGTGCTTATTGTTCAAGTATCTTAGAATATGTCTGTGTTGCAGAACACTTGGAGGTTTTAAGGGAAAAGAGGAAAAATGCCTTATAAATATCAAAGTTCATGAGCATTTGCACAATAGGTAAAAAAAAAATTAAAAAAAAATCCATCAAAGTTAAGTCAGGTCCTCTGGACGGTTTCTTTATGTTGAAATGTTTCGTTTTTCATCCGAAGGACTTCATCAGTGCATCTGAGGCATTAGTGGCTGCCTCAGACGAGTCGTTGGGGGGGGGGGGGGGGGGGG